TTGAGACCACTTTAACTGTTCTGGCTCAGTGCTAGGGAATCATGGGAAATGTACTTTTTTTTCTGAGACATTAAGCTTTCTCTGTCAGAGCTCTGGTGCCACAATAAACTACAGTTCCCATGATTCCTTAGCACTGAGCAGGGCAATTAAAATGGTCTCCAGCAACATTATTTCTGGCAGTCTGTAAAGGCCCTCAGTGACCTTGTTGGAGACTAGTCTGTTCAGATCCTATAGAAAGAAACTTGAAATGCCTGAGACAGAACATGCTGTTCTGTTGAGCAGGCAGTGGCAGATGCCTGCTATTTATACCATGTTTCACCCATCCATCCTACTTGATAGTGCTGTGTATTGTTTCCTTCGGGATATTGAGAAGGCTCTAAAGCAGGGGTTGGCAACCTACAGACCATGGGCCGCACCTGGCCCACAGACCCCCATCGACTGGCCCCTGCCGACCCCGACCCCACCGCTGCGTGCACCGCCACTACCGCATTTTGTTTGCCAAAATGGCGGCCGCGACTCGCTTGCATATGCACAGTACTCCTGCGCATGCGCAAACGAGCCGCGGCTGGCATTTTTGAAAACAAAATGGTGGCTGCGATGCGCATGGCGGCGCAGCCAAAATGGCACCCTGGAGGAGCCCTGTGGTGGCGCTGGGCCTCTTGGAGGCCCGGCGCTGCTGAGGGAAGCCTCCTGGGGGGCCCCCGCGATGGTGCTGGGCTGGAGCGCTGGGCCTCTCGGAGGCCCAGCACCGCCGAGGGAAGCCTCCTAGGGTGCCCCCGTAGCGGCACTGGGCCTGTTGGAGGCCCAGTGCTGCCAAGGGAAGCCTCCTGGGGGCCCCCGCCGCCATGCGGATGCGCACGCGATGCGGGAGGGCAGCTGCCATTTTGTTTTTCAAAATGGCGCTGCACATGCGCACTAGTGCACGTGCCGGCCCCCAGCACCATTCCCTCCCCACCCGGCCCGTCAGCAAAAAAGGTTGTCGACCCCTGCTCTAAAGTCTGGGTGCAAATATTCCCAGGTGGTTCATTCCTAGCTCTGAAGACCTCTGGGATTCAGTATGGTTGTGTGATCTTGTCAGGTGTGTAGTTATGGAGGTGGCAGGCAAAATGAGAGCATTGCCTCTCAAATAAGAATTTTGCCTTCCCAGTGAGATTTTTCTTCATCCCCCAGATTTTTTCACCTGGCAGTAACTGAAAACCTCAGTTGAGCAATCAGATACACCTTTAGGCATCCAAAGAAAAGGGACAGCAAGTTAACAAAGGAAAGTAGGTGCAGGGAATATGTGCTGGGTGTGAATGACTTTCAGTGTCTCACTTTCTGCAATGTTAGAAATTTTGGGACTGAAGGGAAGTTTCATGGTGGTGAGATTTCTATTTGGAGGGGCAATACCCTCCCCCTGGTACCTGCACTCCTGGGTTTTGTGCAGACTGGCCCCAGGTCTGTAAATCTTGCCGACCCCTGGTTTATGGTAACAAAACTACTCGTGGTCCAGCAGAATTAACAAAGACACACTCCCCCTGTGCAGTTCCCAGTATAGGTGATTCACCAAGGTGACCAAAGCTACCTCTGTCCTGTAGACAGCTTTGAAGTCAGATTGAGAT